TCGCTGTGTGCTTCTTTTGTCTTAGTTCAGGGACTCTGACTTTCACTATGATTGAAATCAGATGCCTTTATCGTACCTTTTGTTTAGATCATAATTTAGGCAGAGTTCATTCTTTTTTTATAGTTGGTGCAGCCTCAGTACTGCTATCTGTGTATCCATCACACAAGTGAACATAATGATGAAATATTGTATGGTTGTGGTTAATGATTAATGATATGCTGGCCACTCGCATTGATGATTTCCTGGCAACTCCATGTCATTTGTAATCGGCCACTTTAAAAAGTAAAAGAAATGAAATGGCCAGTTCTTATAGTATATTTATGCCCTCGTCAATAATACTTGTTTTAATTAAGCAAACCCTTGTGATCATCTGAGGAGAAGCATTTTTAGGAATTGTCATGCTAGTGCTATGTGTAGTGCAGCCCAGGGGGTGTTCTATGTATCATTTACTGCTGACTCGCCTTTATCATGTTTCTGTTTCCAATGTCTTTCCTTGTCTCCCTTTTTTTTTTTGAAGTAGCTTCCATTATCTCCTGTTTTCACTCTTTACTCGCACATATAAGCATTGGTGTAGATGACATCCTCTTGTTTGGACATAATATCTTTTGAGTTTACTAGTATCTAATACTAATGTGATTTGCTTATTGTGGCAGGGGCAACATCCTTTCTTTTCACTGAATATCAATATGTAGGTATCTTTATGATTGCTTTTGCAATCTTGATCTTCCTTTTCCTCGGCTCTGTTGAAGGCTTCAGCACCAAGAGCCAGCCATGCACTTACAACAAGGAGAAGATGTGCAAGCCAGCCCTTGCAACGGCCATCTTCAGCACAATATCCTTCTTGCTTGGTGCTGTCACTTCAGTTGTTTCTGGTTTCCTTGGGATGAAAATAGCAACGTATGCAAACGCAAGGACAACTTTGGAAGCGAGAAAAGATGTTGGCAAAGCCTTTATTACTGCATTCAGATCTGGTGCAGTAGTGGGTTTTCTCCTTGCCGTCAATGGCCTCTTGGTGGTTTATATTACAATTAATCTCTTTAAGCTATGCTATGGTGATGAATGGGAGGGCCTTTTTGAGGCAATTACTGGTTATGGTCTTGGTGGATCTTCCATGGCTCTTTTTGGTAGAGTTAGTAGTGGCGTTTACACCAAGGCTGCTGATGTTGGTGCTGACCTCGTCGGGAAGGTCGAAAGGAACATCCCAGAAGATGATCCCAGAAATCCTGCTGTAAGCTACACGATTTCTTCATGTGTAAACTCTGCTTTCCAGACGAGTACTCATCTGATAATTTTACCCTTCATGTCTTTGCAGGTGATTGCTGACAATGTTGGCGATAATGTTGGGGACATTGCTGGAATGGGTTTTGATCTGTTTGGCTCGTATGCGGAATCATCTTATGCTGTTCTTGTTGTCGCTTCCATCTCGTCTTTTGGAATTAATCATGAATTCACTGCAATGTGTTATCCCCTGCTCATAAGTTCTATGGGAATTCTTTTTTGCTTGATAACCACCCTTTTTGCTACTGACTTCTTTGAAATTATGGCTGTCAAGGAAATTGAACCAGCCCTGAAGAACCAGCTTATTATCTCAACTGCTCTTATGACAGTAGGAATTGCAATTGTTACCTGGACTTGCCTTCCATCTTCCTTTACTATCTTCAATTTTGGAACTCAAAAGGTTGTAAAGAACTGGTAAGTATCAAGTTCTTGTTTTGAAACTTTTTAGCTTTTTGATTAGACACCAATCTCCCAATGTGGCTGGATCAGGCCTGGCATTTTCTAATCAATCATGTTATGTTATGCATTTCAATTTCCATTTTTTTTCCTTATGTTTTGACCTTTTTTCATTTGGTTTCTGAATTTGCGCAGTATGGTTGTCTTTTTTCAGTAGAATCAGTATTGAACAATTATCGTATGTTGTTATTGCACATGCAACTGTTTCTATGCGTGGCTATTGGTCTTTGGGCTGGACTTATCATTGGATTTGTCACATAATACTACATTAGCAATGCTTACAGGTGAAAATTAGTAGTTTGTCTTCATACTGCGATTTTCTATTCTTGTTTCGAAGATGTACTTTATTGATCGCTTCATCTTATGTTTTTTTCCCGTTGTTTCTATTGCAGCCCTGTCCAAGATGCAGTTGACTCTTGCAGGACGGGAGTTGCAACCAATGTTATTTTTGGCCTTGATCTTGGCTACAAGTCTGTCATAATTCCTATTTTTGCCATTGCAATAGCTATCTTTGTCAGTTTTACTTTCGTTGCTATGTATGGTATCGCTGTTGCTGCTCTTGGAATGTTGAGCTCCATTGCTACTGGATTGGCCATTGATGCATATGGACCTATCAGTGATAATGCTGGAGGTATAGCTGAGATGGCTGGCATGAGCCACCGGATCCGTGAAATTCCTGATGCTCTTGATGCAGCTGGAAACACCACTGTTGCTATTGGAAAGGTTTGTATCTTTTTTATTTGTTTTCCTCTCCTTCCTACACATGATGCTTGTCCATATTTACGCAAAAGCGTGGCAATAAATTTGTTTGGAAATCAGAATCTTGTCACAATGATGCATGTTGTATTCGATTTCTTTTTCGTTAATCGGATTTGTGATTAGAATTTCATCTTTTGCATTCTCATAATGGAAGTTTATTCAACATTTCTCCTTTTTGCTAACCCAGTATGGGCTCCTTCTTTCTAGGGATTTGCCATTGGTACCGCTGCACTTGTGTCCTTGGCCCTGTTTGGTGCTTTTGTGAGTCGGGCTGCAATTTCAACAGTCGATGTCTTGATCCTCAAGGTCTTCATTGGTTTGATTGTTGGTGCCATGCTTCCCTACTGGTTCTCTGCCATGACCATGAAAAGCGTTGGTTGTGCAGCTCTGAAGATGGTTGAGGAAGTTCGCCGACAATTTAATACCATTCCTGGTCTCATGAAGGGCCATGCCAAGCCTGATTATGCTACTTGTGTTAAGATCTCGACTGATGCATCTATTAAGGAAATGATTCCCCCAGGTGCTCTTGTCATGCTTACACCTCTCATAGTTGGGATTTTCTTTGGAGTGGAGACTCTTTCTGGTGCTTTGGTTTGTGGTGTTCAGGTATGATTGTTGATTTCATTTTCTGTTTGAGTGTGCTGTTTGCCTTTCTTTGAGATACTTTCTTTTGGAAGAATTGGGCCTAAATCTGCTTCTATCTGTCTCATTTTGTAGATTGCAATATCTGCATCAAACACCGGTGGTGCATGGGACAATGCCAAGAAGTATATTGAGGTAAAGAGCTCATATCTATGCACTGATTTTTTTTTGATTTTTTGTGAGACACTGTCTTTTAACTATTGAGTCTGTGCCAGGCTGGTACTTCAGAGCATGCAAGGACCCTTGGCCCAAAGGGTTCGGAACCCCACAAAGCTACGGTTATTGGGTGACACCTTTGGTGACCCTTTGAAGGACAATTCAGGTCCATCTTTCAATATCCTAATCAAGCTGATGGCAGTAGAGTTGCTTGTCTTTGCTCCATTCTTTGCCACTCATGGTGGTATACTTTTCAAGAGTTTTTAAGTAAAGAGTTGGGAGACTTACGGAGCTCTATTAGTTATTCCTTTTGTCACCAACCTTTCTACTCTGATTACCCCAAGCATGGGATTTTTGAGTTAGTTCTTAGCTAGTCACAGGTTTAACTTTTGATGAGAAGATACTTACGACAACACGACTAGTTAATTTGTGCTAGTCTTGAGATAGAGAGTCTATTAGTTTTCCTCATACGTCAGTAGACCTAGTTTTTCAGTTTTTTTCTGTAATATCATTATTCACGTTTAGTACGACGTTCTACCTTTATTCTGTTACACAAGGCAGGTTTCCAATTTTGTGCCTTTCATGTGTAAGTAATGAAAGACAGGTTTCTAAATGTTCAGTTTTCCAGTTTTGTCTGTAATGTCATTACTCACGTTTAGTACTACGTCCTAAACCTGAAAACAACCCAAGAAGAAAGAATTCTTAAAGAGAAATCAAGAACTTTGACATGGTAACATGCAACGAGAAAGAAACAAGAAAAGGATAACACAGGAAAAGGGTAACATAAGAAAACAGGCAAAGTTCTGGAAACCTGAAAACAACCCAAGAAGAAAGAATTCTTAAAGAGAAATCAAGAACTTTGACATGGTAACATGCAACGAGAAAGAAACAAGAAAAGGATAACACAGGAAAAGGGTAACATAAGAAAACAGGCAAAGTTCTGGAAACCTGAAAACAACCCAAGAAGAAAGAATTCTTAAAGAGAAATCAAGAACTTTGACATGGTAACATGCAACGAGAAAGAAACAAGAAAAGGATAACACAGGAAAAGGGTAACATAAGAAAACAGGCAAAGTTCTGGAATCCGGATGACCGGGGCTTTCCTGATACTTGACAATTTTATGAGTAATCCCGAAATATGTACTCATGATGCCGTAGTTAAGGATATTTGAGCTTGGAAGTTGAGATAAACTAAAGAAAGAAAACAAGAAAATGTTAATACTGCAACCTAAGCAGCTCGCCGGCATTGAACATTTACACGGAAGGTGCAATTTCTGGGCTACTTATGTGTTCTTTTCCCCTTTAAATGTGCTTATTATGCGTGCATCTGCGAAGATTTAACGTCAAAGGCCTCGTGAATTTGATATTTTAGACTGCTACTTTGTTTCCAGTAGGGTTTGGGCATCTTTTCTGGGAGACTGAATCCAGATTTAGAAGTCAAAGGAAATGCAAAAAATGTGTAGTACACTTTTGATATCTAAAATCCCGTGTGAATAAAGATCCAGACAAATAGGAATGTTTATTTCCCTTGATGAATCCACAACCAGATAATGAAAATCCAAACACACAATTTTTTGGTCATTTAAGAATTGTGTTCACCTGCTTAGTGTTTAGTAGATACGGTTGAGGCACAAAGTTAACATGCATGCTGCAAACATTATGCCATGTCTTACATTCAAGAGCCTTATAAAACCTATATGGAATGACTGTTGAGTACGAAGTAGAACAACATTTATGGCAAAATTACTGAATTTGTTCATAAAGTACAGAGACAAGCGAATACATTTTGCATGTTACAGTAAACAAATGAAAATGTGAATCAAATTTCTCCACGATAACCTCCAGACCCAAAGTAGTCCCTCCTTGAATTTGCAATTTGCTGGCTTCTTTGGTGGTCTAGCTTGGGACAGTGACGGATACGATGACCAAGCCCACCACAATATGCACAACCCTTTACTCCACTTGCATTTGTGATTTCTTCTACGTCTTCCATGGGATCATTGAGCTCTGCGAGGACTGGAGGGATCCTCTGCTTTGCTTCTTGCAACAAGTGTTTTAGATAAAGCAATGTTGTTTCGCTCTGGTTCTTGTTGATAAATGTGGTGGCAATTCCTGTTTTTCCACATCGTCCTGTTCGTCCAATCCTGTGCACATAGTTTTCAATTTCGGCAGGCATGTCATAGTTAATCACATGCTGAATATCAGGAAAATCCAACCCCTTTGAGGCAACATCAGTGGCAACTAAGACATCTTTCTTGCATGCTTTGAATGCCGCAATTGCATATTCTCTATCAGGACATCTCTTCTTCCTCTTCAAATGTTTCAGATTTCCCCTTGCGTTGAAGGATCTTTTGCGCCTCAATTGCCCTGCGCTTTGCCACTGGTATATAATCAACATAATCATCTTCCTCCTCCATCTCCTACAAGCACAATACTGTATAATAAGAACAACAGAAATAAAAAAAATCAAATCTTCCTTCCTAGTACAACGCACCAAAGCGGATGCAACAAAATGGGCGCAATCCTTAACATACAGAATCAGAAAAGCGTGAAAATTTGTTTGAAAAGCTAAAAAAAATACAACCTACCAAAGAACAGTATCTGCAGAGGACCCAAAATCAGAACAAACAACATAGTACATACAATATAATACAAAATAAAATGTGCAAAACCCCATACAGCGTTTAAAGCAATCAAAATCAAATATTCAGTAAAATCCCCAAATTTCAGGTATCCCAACTGGTAAAAATTCAATCTTTCACTAAAAAGATGAGAGAGCAAGAAGCTGCATACCATATTTAAGTGGTCTACCATCTGAGCAATAGCAAAAAAAAGTGACTAATTGCAGAGAAACTAATTTCAGATTCGGTAATTGCAGGGATCTAAATTCCAGCGACCGGACGGGGAAAACAGGTATGTTGCTGTGTTTAAGATACTACGAGGTCCGGTCTTCGTAATATGATTTAATTTCTGATGGAGGATGAATCAATTCCAGTTATTTATAGTATGTGACTGAATTTACGAAGCAAAAGATAAATAAGCCGAACATCTGAAAGCTAAAAAGGACGAAGAAGCCGACCTTATTTTGGTTTGGGCTATTTTGACCCAAAGTTGGGGGAAGTGCAGGAATAGCCACTTTGAGGACCCCTATTTAAGGTATAGCCGAGGTTATAAAACTAAGCAAATATAATGGCTTCAAATCAACTTCAGACTCGAGTGTTTGAAAATTTTATCTGAAGTTTTACTTTTTGCCTGAAACTTTTGTTTGAAGTTTCACCCAAATGTTTGAAGTTAGATAACCACTAAACATTAAAAAGTTCGCCTTAGAAGTAGTTAGATGAATTTTCTCACACATCACTTCAGCTCATTGAACGGACAAGGACATAATTTTTCATAAAAGAATAGCCACATAAAGGCTACTTGCGCAAATAACCCCACCCCCGTTTTTTCTTTCCAAATAATGCAAAATTACCAATAGTTTAGGGATATCGGTTATCAAGGGCCTTTGGCTCGAAATCTATTTAGAAATATTAACATATTAACCCAAATAGCCGCCCATCTAATTCTATAAACTAAAAATAGCAGTAGATGTATAATATATGTATAATTCATGCATAATATGTGTATAATTATGTATAATCAACATATAATCTATGTATATTGACTAGAAAAAGTAAATAGTGAATATGATCGATTATTTGTTTGGTTAAGAAGGAAGTCGTTCTTCAAAGAAGTAAATAGATTATTTCCACAACGGTAAGCAAAATTATAAATGTCCTCATATTAATCATTTTCTTTAAGATAATTTTCCTTGAAATTTTCACATATTTTTCCTTGGTTGTAACTTGTAAGCGAAAGTATAGAGCAAGATACTGTAACCTTTAGCTTGTAATTTATGTTTAGCTAACTAGGAAAAATAGTCTTTACCACTTCTTTGTCACTTCAATTCTTGTAAGGCAAAATATATCGGCCGTCCCTTAGAGTTGTTCACACTTTTCATTTTAACACTTTATCTTAAGTCAGTATCAATTAGACATAAAATACTAAATTTTAACACTTTATCTTAAGTCAGTATCAATTAGACATAAAATACTAAATTTTAACACTTTATCTTAAGTCAGTGTCAATTAGACATAAAATACTAACATGTCATTGCGCGTATATCACACCTCTTTTAAGAGCGTGAACTGCATATATGAGGCCATTGATGTGGGCCCGAACTACAGGTGGAAACAAAAGACATTCTTTTTAAAAAAAATCTTTTTCGCTTTTCATCTTCTAAATGAGACACTACCACAACTGTGCGGCCAACTTCCATCACATACCCACCGGCTCATCTAAAACCAAATTTAAAAAAATAAATAAAAATTCAGTCGTATTGCACCATGAAACCACCGAAACTCCTCCATGAAACACCATGAAAACCTCCATTAGATACACCTCATTTTTCTTTCAAAAAACTAGTAACAAACACCATTAAAATAGCCATCAAACCCAACTGAACCACCCCTAAAACTACCATGATACCACTCCAAAATAGCCTCTAAAACAACTTCTTTTCACTTCATTTCTCCACCAGTTTATCCACCGAAACATCATGCTTCACCACTTAAAAAAAGAGCATTAAAGGAAAGGATAAACGGGACCAACTGAATTGGCAGAAATCAACTTCTCCCGGATATGCACGATCGTAGCACTTCCACTGTCAATTTCTACATTGCCTTTGACTGTCTAGGGCAGTAGACCTGGGAGTGACAACTAATGTGGTAGCTGAAGCTAAGGCTATTCTTCATGGGTTGGAATATTGTGTGGAGCATGATCTTTACCCTCTCATACTGGAGACTGATTCATTGGTGATGAAGAAGGCGATAGAAGGGGAATGAGATCCTCCTTGGATAATTGCACAGGATGTGAAGAAAATTATAGAGATGAAGGACAACTTCAATGTGATCTTTCAACATGTGTTCAGAGAAGGCAACTCAGTGACGGATTTTATAGCTAACATTGTGTTCTCTTTTGCAGGTACATCTAAGTTTCATTCATTGTCTGAACAGCCTAGTGCAGGGAGGAGGTTGATCAATCTAGATAAATTTTAATCACCTAACCTTAGGTTTAGGATAGCAAAGAGAAGAACCCCAGACTGATGGCTTCACAGGATTGGACTCTCCACAAACCTGCATGTTTCTTTGTTTCATTCAGTATGCTATTAAGGTACTTTCCAATGGTATTAGCGTGGTCACATGCTCATTATGAGGGTGCTTTGATAATGTACAGAAAAATGCGATAAGAAGGTGTGGGATGGTATAATTTATCCTACTTCTGATATGTCCAAATGCTAAGGAAAATGCTGAACCCATCATATGGTATTTTTGGAGATTTTTGGATCATTTCTCAGTGGTATTAGCATGCTTTCATGCTCAATCTGAGGATGGTTTAGCAATGTTTAGAATGATGTCCACATTAAAGGTTCTAGTAGAGAAGGATCTGAGTTTACATGATCACAAAAAGACACAATTTCAAAGCCTGGCCTTTGCATTGCAAAGCCTGCTTAAAGCCAGCTCATTCCTGGCTTTTGCCTTGCAAAGCCAGCTCATGCCTGGCTTTTACCTTGCAAAGCCTGCCTAAAGCCAGATCAAGCTTGGCTTTTGCCTTGCAAAGCTTGCCTAAAGCCAGCTCAAGCCTGGCTTTTGTCTTGAAAAGCCTGCCTAAAGGTAGGCTCCTCTTCTACACATTAATTTTGATGAGTGAGCACATGATTAATACTTGGACAAAATCAGTCCACTGTCTATGGAGATCATATAGTAGATACACTTGGAAGACTATGCTGGCTTCAACTATGTGGTGGAGATGTTTGGAATTCATTTTAGTCTATGGACAGTATACCCTAGCACCTGGTGAGAGCTTGATAGGTGCTGCTTGGTATTTGCCAATGACAATTGGATTCACATACACTAATAGGAGAAGGAAACATTCAATTTATCATGTTGTAATAGCTAGTTCATTAGATTTTAGCTTTTCTATCTTTTTAATAACTAGTAGCTTCATGCAACTTCTATTTTGGTTTGGACATCTTATAAGCTTTGGACCCATTTTGGGATTTTATTTATATATTAGCCACCAGGCAAGTGCTGCAGAGTGGTATAGTTGCTATAAAAACAAAAGGCCTGGTTAAAATGTTCAAATAGAACAAACTTAAGATAAAATATCAATGTGAAAAGTGTGGACAATTTTAAGAAGTTGTCGATGTATTTTGTCTTCTTGTAATGTCTCTTATTTAACGTCAAAATCAAATACTTCTTTTATCTCAATTTATGATACTTTTCATTTCTCAAGAATTAATTTGACTAAGTGTCAATATAACAAAATAATAGTGCAACAACAATCCAATTATATCTCAATCTCAAAATTAGTTGGAGTCAATTATTTATGTAACGGAAAAGGGCCAAATATATCCCTCTACTTTCGTTTATTGTTCAATCTTATCCCCCGTTATACTTTCCGTTCATACATACCCCTGCCATCCAACAAAGTTCTATATTTACCCTAATTTTAACGGACATGACATGTGGATCGTCTAATTGAATGAACTAATCCCAAAAAAGAAAAAGGCGTAAAATATGACCCATCCGACCCGGTTCCCCTTTTTAAAATTTTACCTAAAATTAAAACTCATTTATCCACACCCCCTAATTTCCAATAAGTAAACATAAAGCATCAGATTTGGCGAGTAAAAAAAGGATCAAACGCTTGATCAGTGCTTTAAAAGGTATGTGCGTAAGGCGAGACGTCTTACATATGCCTCAACGAGGCGTAAGCCCCGAGGCACGGGGCGTAAGCCCCATAGGTATTTAATTTTTAATATTTTATAAAATAATTTAATGACAGTAAATATTTATAAAAAGGTAAAATTGCAAAAAATTGAAGAAAACTATAAATATATAAAATATATATTATTATTAAAGCGCGAATACAATATCATTTTATAAAAATAACCTTATAATATTAAACATAATAACTAATAATAAAAGGACATAACCGTAATTCTAGATATTAACCTTATAATTCTATTAGTATTAGGACATAATACTATACGTTAAAAATCCTACATGATCACCTTTAGGAATCCTATTAGTATAATTACTTTCGGGATATCAAATTCATATAAAATTGAACAAGTAAATATCTTTAGTCATGTAATCCTATTACTTTTAGGATATACTTCTTAAAAATTCCTATTACTAATTTAATTTAAAAACGTATTATAATGACCTATTACTAATTTAATTTGAGAATGTATTATATTGTCCAAATTTATTTAAAAAAATGATAGCTTATATTATTATAAAAGTATAAATACAATATTAATATAGCAAAATAACCCTAAAATATTAAGCGGAAGAACTCATAGAGAAAGGACATAACTGTAATATCCTATTTTTTGGACTACAATACCTTTTATGCTTAATTTTTAATATTTAAAGTTTTAAAATTAAAAAAAATTGTCTATTAAATTCCTATTAAAAATATGTAGGAAGGTTTAATAAATTTAACTTCATAAGAATCCTCCGTATTGATAATACATTACCACTCTATAATGTCCAATACCAAGAAAAAATAAAAATAATATTAAATAGACTGCATAAAGAGTTAAAATTGAGAAAAAGATACCCCACGTTAATATATTTTTTATTTATATTTAAACTATTTTCCCACTCAAATAATACTTTTTTATTAATTTTTCGTGTAATGTTGAAAAATAGCCAATTATTAAATAACAACTAAGAAAATATGTAAGAATATAAATGTGTGAGAAGGAGAAAAAAATGGTCTTAAGAGTCAATACCACTAATGATTCTACAAACATAACTGTAACGACCCGACCGTTCGTTTTGAGAATTTAAGTCCCATCCAGAGGCATAAGGCCCTAAACAGCTTCGTATTATGTGCCTTGACTTGCGTGCGTAGTTGATTTCAGTTACCGGATGATTCAGAGTGATTTGGGACACTTAGTCCCTAAAACGGAAGCTTAAGTCTTAGGATTTTGACTATAGTCGGAACT